TCTGTCATTAATAAACATAGAGTGTCGCTTAACCATGATTTGGACTAATGTTTCCATCCTACATAACAAAGCTAACGTAAAAAAGAAAGAAATAAGTGAAATGATTTTTATTAAGAAACAAAAAAATTCCATAAATTTGCAAAGGGACACGAACATTTAAATTTGATTTATGACACTATTCTTAATTTATTTTAGTCCTTAGTAACGCATTATATTATTTATATTTTACCTATAATAATTCCATTTTAATATCATTTTTATTTACTATGTATATACGTTTTATTTTCTGTTTACGGAGGTTTTAGTTGTATTATTTTAGTTGTGTTGATTATTTTATCTTATTTAATCGACTTTTATTTCTCTCTTAACAATGTTTTTGACTTGTTGTTGGCTAATCTGTGTTCGGTTAATCTAACGTTACTTATCAAAAGGAGTACTACTTTTCATTAGGATATTAATTATATTATGTCAAGTTTTTTAAATTTTGATCTTATACTATAAATTGACATCACGAGCGTATAGTTTTTACCATTCTACATTAAATAATGGTGTTATATCTCTAAAAACTATAACTATTAAGGTATAATTACTCATATTACATCCGCTTGACGACGGGCACTGACCGCGTAAAAACGCATACGCTGCGAGACACACGCAGAACCGAAATTGCCCAATGTGCAAGCAAAGCGGAAGGACTTGGAATTTACTTCGCTTGCACCTAGGTCCTTGACCTGTTGCCAGGCACCCTTTCCGATCAAAGAACTTCCAAAAAGCAAGACTATAAAAACGGAGCAGGAGACGCGTTCAGGAGTCGCTCTCGAGTCGTTAATTTAGAGTAACCTCGCTAACCGCGTGCGATCTATAACATCTTATCGCAGTCGCGCGCGCGATTCACGAAGTCATAGTTAACTAGTGGAAATAAAGAAAACGTCAAGTAGTTAATTCAAATAAAAATTCTTTAATAGTGAAAAAGTGAAGTGCATTCATTCAATCATCCCGATTCAAGCCCTGACGCCCCGGATCCTCATCCTAATTTAGCGCGACTCCTTGTGCCTTACCCGGGGCACACAACAATGGATATTACAAATTATAATATTATAATTATAAATTAGACGTTTTATTTTGTTATTACTTTCAACCTTGTCTCTTACTTACACTGTATTGTAATTAATTTTTGTAGCCTAAAGAGGACGCAATTTAGGGTCGAAACGTTGTTTCTTTTGCAATAAAAGAATTATTACTCTTGGCCAGTGGTGGTCAATAAAGTTCTTTTAATTTTATTTATATTTTTACTTAAAACTATATTAGGCATTTTATCATAACTCATTTTAATCCCACGAGTAGAGAGGAAATACTTTGTTAACTCTAACAGACCCTTCTATGAGGGCGACCTTACTCCGGAGAATCGGCCGGTACCCCGGCGGGACCGTTTAAGACAGTTATTGTAAAAGTTGCCGCCGCGAAGGCGACGAGCTTCGGCTACCTCGCCCATGCGGGCATACGCCACAACTGCTACCTACCGTCACCGGAACCGCCTCGAAAATGGCGATAGAAAAATCCAGCAGCGCCTACGGGCGTACGCAGAATGGACAATTTAGCCACAACGAGCGAGCCCTCCTGCTTCTCCAGCTGATTTTCCTCCTAGGGACCGCACTTACGCCATTAGGACCCGATGTGCGTGATTCTGAAATTTCCGTGTCCGGTGAAGACCTGTGTGACCCAGTAATCAGTTTGGAGCGTTTGTGCGACTATTCTGTTCCGCACATTATTGAAGAAGACGAAAGTGGTACGATCATTGTTTAAAGATTCCCACTCTGTCTGCCACATGTTTAGTATTGCCTCATCCTGAATAATACTTATTGCTATTTTTTTCTTGGTTTCCGCGGGTATTTCAACGTTCCCGAAATTTATTGCCTGACCTTTCCGCGCGTGGTATCGCGTCGCGTATTCTTTTAGTAGAATGTCAACCGGCATTGCTCCTGCTACTACGCAAAGTGATTCGAAGAATGCTGTCCGATATGCTTTAATAATCGATATTAGCGCTCTCCGCTGCGCCGCTTTCAAAGTTTTGATGTCCCGTTTTGTGCATAAATCCGCCCAACTTGCGACGGTGTACGTTATTTTTGGTACAAAGGCTCCACGGTATATAACATTTAACGCGTCGTATTTAAGTCTCCACTTGGCTCGCGCGACTCTACCTAGTTTTTGGAATAGTGACTCGACGGCTGTTACTTAATTTTTGGCAATCCATTTTAACTCTCATCTTGTGGTCGAAAATAACTCTAAGGTATCGGACTGTTCGTTTAAAATTAATTCTCGCGTTTTCTATCTTTATTGTCGGCAGCGTATTCTTGAAGTCGACGCTTTTTCTACCGTTAGACTTTCGCTTTCTATCCGGTCTGTCTTCTCGTCTTTCGATTAAGAGTGTCCCCAAAGTTTCGGAACGGCCAAATATTTCAAAAATAAATCACTTAAGAGAAAAATGTTTCCTGCAAAAGTTGTAGGATTCAAAATAAGATACTTGACGATGAGGACACTCTTATAATTTGACCTCTATCCTCTATATTTGATCCTCGTGTAAAGGTCAAATTATCTCATTACCAGATATCTCTTTTGTACGCTAAAACACTCATGCAACCATTTTTATTTTTTTAGAAACCGACTCCAATTGCTTTGCAAAAAAATTATTTTGGCCTTGAAATAACTCCCGAAGGTCATTTTAATCCTTCTTTATGACCACATGTTTCAACGTGACATTTCCGTTCTTTCCAATTCTGATATCAAAAATAGATAGTCCTATTAAAAAAAAATCAAGTTGTCTTTGATTTGACCTCTTAATTTGACCTCAAGATCAAGTTCAAGAGCACCATCAAGTGCGCACGTTCAAATTCTAAAACTTTTGTATTTAACATAGGAAGTATGAGAAATTAGAATGATACAATTAAAATTAATAAAGATAAACATTTTGATGTTAAACGCAAGAATTAAAATTTACATACTTTCTTAATAAAAGCGCAGTTAGTTGACTTTGTTGTCATTATTAAACAATGTGATTATATCTGAATTTTTAAAACATTTGAAAAAACTTTTGAAAGAAAAAAACTGCATCTTATCGTTATGATGGATCGTCAAAAACTGAGTATGTAGAGTTTATGATTTTTATAATTATGTCATCAATGTTGTTTAAATTCTCTGTGTCTTTATGTAGGTTAACTGTATTATTAACTTTTTTGATAAAAAACATCTCTGCGATTTCTCTCTTTTTAACATGTTTTTTATTATGTAATATAACGGGTGATACCCAATCAAATTCATGTCCCAACTCTTGTCTATGTTTGCTTATGACCGAATGATTTGTTACATGTAATTTTATATTGTTAAAATGTTCTTTTATACGAGTACGCAAATGTCTTTTTGTTTGACCGATATATGAAGAATCACAATTTTTACAGTCAATTTTATACACAACATTAGTTCTATTGTCGTTAGGTAATCTATCTTAAACAAGATAGAAGAGAGTTTAAACAACATCTATGACAAAATTATAAAGGTCGTATAAACTCTACATACTCAGTTTTTGACGATCCTCCATTATAACGACAAAATGCGGTTTCTTTCTTTCAAAAGTTCTTTCAAAAGTTTTTTCAAATGTTTTAAAAATTCCGATATAATTACATTGTTTAATGATGACAACAGTGTCACCTAACTGCGCTTTTATTAAGAAAGTATGTAAATTTTAATTCTTGCGTTTAACATCAAAATGTTTATCTTTATTAATCTTAATTAATTGTATCATTCTAGTTTCTCACTTGAAAAGGACCAAAAACAAATGGTCGAAACGTTGTGGAAATAAAATAAAAATTTTCTTTGTGTAGTTTGGGTCAAATTTAATATATCGTTCCTATTTTAAATATCACTAGCGACGTTTTAAGCATTCAATTTGATTTTTAACATTTTTTTAAAAACGTCATCCTCACGAGATATTCAGAAGTACCCATACTTTTGACAAACCTTGTATGTAGCATTCATCATCCACACCTTTCATTTACACTCTACACTTTTATTACACCTTACACTTTTCACTGCACTTTTACACTTTTTACATCTTTATACATTTGTAATAACTTCAATTCATTAATTAACATAATGTTTTAAGAAAAATCAATATTTCCATAACAACACATTCATTCATTTATTTGTTATATATTAATTCTTTTTGTCTTTCGCTTTATACTTTCAATGAATAAACATTACTTTCTTAAAAGATCTGGTGAATTTATTCATAAGTCGCTACATGTATATGTATATGTATTTGAAAAATAGTTTGAATAATTAATAACAAAAGAACCGTTGAAGATGGAGGCTTGTCCTTTTGTACAAACGTGAGTGTTAACATCACGCACCTAAGGCCCGAGTTGCAGCCATTTATGTCTGCAAATATTGTTAAAAAAGAATATTACATTTTAAATTAAAAAATTAATAACAAATAAACCGCGCAAGATGGAACGTTCTACTATTTCTGATGGCGAGGAATCCGATTCTCCGAGTTAGAATCTTGAAAAACAAAAAGCGGATTAGTTACCTTTTTGGAATAATTAATAACAAATCTTTTGGAGATAGAAGCTTATCCTTTTGCACAAACGAGTGCCAACACATGCACAATTAATATGAAATATTACCATTTTGAAAATTAAAAAATTAATAACAATTGAACCGTGCAAGATGGAACGTTCTACTTTTACGGGAATGTATATGGCTAGATTTTCCCCCGATCCTTCGATTTAGAGCCCTTGTTGTCGATAAAAATAAAAATAATAGTTAGTTTCTTGGCTTGTGTTTAGTATTACCTCCCACCGACGGCGAATGCCTTTCCTAGTTCAGCAAATTCAGCAATATTACATTTCGATCTTAGTTTTTTTTAATATTTTGCGATTCAATTTTTTGGTATAAATTCAAAAGTAAATTTTTGTTACGTTTTTATAATAATTGTTTTTCACATTTTAGTTTACATCTCTCCATCCTTTTTAAAAATGTTTGCAGATATTTTTAAGTACAATTGCTCTGTTAAACAATAGGTTTGTTCTTCTTGCTTACACGAAAAGTGTATAGTGTACACTTTTACTCCGTCCAATTTTTGAGAGTGGGGGTAACGTCGTGTAAATTCAGTGTAAAGTGTAAGCTTTTCAACGAGAACGCCGAAGTGTAACATCAAGTGTTTATAAATACGACAGCTATTTGTGCATAGTGTTCATATTTAAAGTTTTAATAAAAAAGTGGAATTTTATTGTTTAAAATTTATTATTGGTTATATTGTTACAATTATCACAAAATGATGAATGAATTAAATGTAGAAATTCTTAATCACATTTTGGAGTCGGAGTCTGAATCTGATTTGTCATCCGATGAAGAGGATTTTGACGAGATTGTTCCTGAACCACCTGTTTTATTTGCTGCAAATAATGGTAAGATAGTTAAATAATTTTTTACTTACTACATGTGAGTACATTTAACCACTGTTTAAAGTAATTTAACCTATGTAATCTAACCTCAAAACATTGTTTTTTAGATGAAGACATTGGACAATTATTAGAGCCAGTATTAGGAGTTGTTTAAAGAGTACATCACGTAAAAATTCTAAATTATATTGAAAATGTTGTACATTTATACACTGAGAGTGATTTCATAATGCACTTTCGCTTATCACGAGAAGTGACCAATGAATTGATCAATCGTTTTGCAGCATCTCAAATTTTTTTGGCATTACAAGGTTAATTATATCATAATTATGAGTTCCACATACATTAATATTATTTATAAATAACATATTTTAGTTGCATAATTTTATGAATATAATATCTTATTATATCTATGTATGTTATCACAGCTTATGCAGGCTACGAGCCTATTTCTCCAGAGAAACATATCATAAGTTTTCTTTGGTACGTTGGACATGAAAGCAGTGGCTATCGGGATGTAGCAGATAAATTTGGGATTACCATAAGTGCGCTGTACAATGTTATATCCCGGATCACAAATTTTTTAATATCTCTTGCACCAAATGTCATCAGATTTCCTACAATGCAAGAGAGAGAAGCCATTAAAGAACATTTTCTACAAATGCAAAACAGATTTCCTGGAGTAATAGGTATATTTCAAAAGTACTATTTTCATACATATAGAATTTCGATTATTTCATTACTAAATAATTCATTATTACAGGTGCCATAGATGGATCGCACATTCGAATCGACAAACCAATAGAAGACAAAGATTTGTACATAAATAGGAAACAATTTTTTTCCATTCAGTTACAAGGCATTGTGAACCACGGACAAAAGTTTATGAATGTGTTTATCGGTTACTCTGGATCGGTTCATGATGCAAGAGTTTTCAGGGAATCGCCTGTGTACAATAGACTGAATGAACTTTGTGGAGGTTTGTGACGTAATTTTTTTTAGATTAAAATAATATCAAAATGTATATTCGGATGCTATTGTAAAGAGACTTAGTGTACAATCTTTTACTGAACCAATTTTTTTAATTTGCAGAAGATGGATACTTGCTTGGAGATAGTGCGTATCCCTGTTTACAACGGTTGATTGTTTCGTATAGAGATAACGGACATTTGACACGAGCTCAAATCAATTTTAACCAAAGATTGAGTTCATGTCGAGTTATTATCGAAAATGCATTTGGTAATCTGAAACAGCGATTTCGTCAATTGTACCATTTTAAGTTACGAGACATTGTTCGAATGGTTCAGGTTGTGCATGCATGTTGTGTTTTGCACAATATGGCGAATGCTAATGATTTACAGTTATTTGAACCACCTCCCGATGAAAATCAACCTGATCCTGATGCTGTAAATGCACTGATTAATATGGTTGGAGATAATGCAATACCGCAGGATAATCAACAGGGACGAGAACTTAGAGATGAAATATGTAGACAACTCGCAGCACAATAAATGTCTCAATTATTGTACATTCTATTTAAATAAGAATTATGTAAATTTATCTTTTAAAGGCCTTATATATTATATTATTTGTGAATTATAAATAATAAATGTGTTTTCAATAAAAATCCTTATTTCATATTAATATAAAAATTCTTTTATTAAATTGTTCCATTAAATCAACAATAAACAATAAACTTCACAAATATAATACAAAGCTGTTTTCAACACTGTACAAGAAATGTGGAAACGCATAAGTAACGAAATGAAAAACTAAGGATATGACGTGACTGCAATACAAGTGGAAAATAAATGGAATAAAATAATATAATCGTCGGCTAAATTTACTGAAAAGAAGAGTCGCCACGTCACACTGGTTAATTTTTTAAAAATAAATTTAAAAATTCTTTCAATGAATTTTTTTTTCTTCCAATAAGTCGTTTCTTCGTTGTCTTTGTTGAATAGTTTCCTTTCTGTGGTTTTCTATTGCGGTCAAATGTTCTTCTTGTCTATCTTTTATTGATTTATAGGTTTCCAGGATTTGTGATAACATTTTATCTTGATTTTCATCGCGTTTTTCGAGTGTCTTCCTGTATTCTTGCATCTCTTTTTGGCACTGTTGCAATGCCTTTGCCGTTGTTCCAGTGGCGATTCTTTTTTTAGCAACAGCAACGAGGTTGGCATTTTCAGGTACGGTTACTACTTCACTTTCATCAGCCACAGGCATATCTTCAGGTTCCTCTCTTTTTTCTACGTTTGATGTGGTTGGTAATACAATTGTTGTCGATACTGGCATTAAAATCGGCGCACTAAAGTTAAAAAATAAAATTAATTTTCAAAAATTAATGATAATATATGAAAATATATGAACAATTTTCAAAATATGCAATAATAAATATACTTAAATCACAATTCATAGATGATATTAGTATTTACGAAACAAACCTGTTATTCAATAAAGTCCTGAGATCTGATATACTATTTCGGACCATTACTCTTATTTCCGGACCCGCCACAGCAAGTGGAACTATTTTGTGGCTCTTTCCCAAAATTTCTGTCAGTTCCCTGTAAAAGCATGTAAGTAAAAATAAAGCATCAATTTATTATGATTTATTATTATTTCAATTTTAGCTATACGTAAACGTTTGGTAACTACAGGTAATCCGCCCTCTTCCTGTCTTATTATTATTGGAAATAACTTTTTTATATTGTCTTTCTAAAGTCTTCCATTTATTTTCCACTTGTATAGGAGTCACGTCGTATCCCGAGTTTCTCATCTCGTCGCTTATACGCTTCCACATTTCTTTAAAATTTTTAATTCTTCTAGAACTAACTAATTCTTTCTTCTCCTTGTAGAGTGATAAAAATAGTTTGGTATTCGCATCATTTCATGTAAAAATTTCAAAATTGTGTTGAATGACGTTTGGCTTCTGATTTTCTTGATTGGAAATGTTAGTGTCCGGTGTGTCTATTGTTCTGTGTGTAGATGTTAATACTATTAAAACTTTTTCGTTATCCACAGTACATGTAATGGGTGGACCATTCAAATCTATTTCGGAAGTGTGTATTTTAAAAGTTAGCCCACCTACAAATTAACATGATACACATGTAAATAAAACAATTAAAAATGTATACATACAATTAACAAAACACATATGTAAATAAAACAATTAAAAATGTATACATACTGTCGGTTTGGCATGTTATGTAACCTTCTTCATCAATAATTATTGATTCATCGGCATTTCGAAATACTATTGCCGTTTTAGGCACTTATACGACTTCTTCCATTGTAAAAAATAAAATTAGGAAGCAATCGTGGGAAACTATAACCTCTTAGTGTAACTTTACACTGCGTACACCACCTCTCAGGCTCGTGTAAACCAGTGTAAAATTCGTCATAAAAGTGTGATCCACTTTTCAAGACGAACAGCGTGTAATCCAGTGTAATCGCACAACTCTACGTCATTTCCGACAAGAAGAACGCCAAAGTGTACACTTTACACGATAGTGTACGAAGTGTAAGCAAGAAGAACAAACCTAATGTTCTAGGTTTTAAATCTTTTTACGCATTTTTTAATTGTTTAAATTTGTATTATATAAGATTCTATTTATTGAAACGTCTTAAGTTCAGTTGCACCAATGTCACTACAGTTCTTCGCTTAATTAAAATGCGTTTACAGTAAGTGTTGCTTAAAATTCGCTAGCGTTCCACAGTTGTTATAGAAGTAATATCACAGTATATACAATAGCACAACTCTCTGTCGGCACCTTTGATGTTTGTGTAACATAAAATGGAGTACGCATGCGCGAAATCAGCGAGTATAACAGTACTGCCATCTGAACTTTTTTTTCACTCTTTCTTCATTTTTGCTCTCTTTTTAGTATATTACTACATGTAAAATAAATTAATTTTAATAAAAAATTATGTATATATAAGATCAAGTTGTTAATAATGTTAATGTATGATATATATAAAGCAAATGTTATAAATATTAATATTTCATTTAAAGCGCAATCACACTTTTTATTATGAAAATAAGACTGTATATATAAATTTAACATATATAAGACAGGCTATAAGACTGTATACTTAATATTAAGATTTATAAATGTTTCACATTTAGAAGTTTCCTATTTTTCTTACTAATGCTTTTGCATGATTTATTATGCTGTGTTAATGTAAAATATATACACGTACGTAAAAATAATTTTATCAAAAAATTAGTAAAAAAAATCTTGGCATAGCAATTCAAAAAGTATAGTTTGCACTAAATAAAAAAGATAATTGCCAATATTTCTTTTAAAACAATTATTTTCAAAATTTTTTACAAATAATTCTTCTAATTGATGGATTTAAAAACAAAAATTGCTATTTGGTATGTTTAAATTGCCATATAAATTATTTTCTTCATTAGAATAAGCTCGAAAAGAACAATATAATATAGTGTCCTCTAAAACAGCGTTATTTTCATTTACATATAATATACATGTATTACAGGAATGAATTTCCATACACTTTTTAATCAAACATCCACACACATATGTAAACGCATTCTCCTCTGGCAGATCCATGGAATAGTAATCATGGTTTGGGATATCTAAAATTTTACGTGGCAAAAGTGGAATAGTTTGATTTAAACATTTACTTGAACACGGCTTCTTAATAAAATTTAACATTTGGTAATTATCATGAGCACAATTTTGAGATTCAGAATGCTGTAGAAATTTAATACTGAGTAATTTTTTAAAGGCACGCATAAATTAAATCGATGTCGGATTCAGAGAATTACCACCTTGTTGCATAATAGTATCAAAGAAATTTTCGACACAATTTTGATTAATTCTTCGTGTTCGAAGATAAGGAAAATTAAAAAATTTAATTTTTTATCCCATAACTGCATTATACTATTAATTGTAATCTGCCAGCACTGAAAACATTTAATATTTACATTAACACGTGAACCGTTGGCATTAATTATTGTAATATATTTGAAAAGATGTAACATTTTCTCTAAGAACTCTTTTTGTTTCTCACTACCAGTATAAATTTCTCCATATTCTTTTGGATTATTTAAAGCAAATGAATTTATAATATCAAATAATTTATCTAATTTTTCAATAAGTTCTATTATGCCAACTGCTTCACTTGGAAGAAAACCAAACGACATTTGCGTGCATATACCTGCAGCTACCCGATTGCTAAATATTTGGACAGCATATTTTACTTTCATTCGTTGAAAGGAATTTGGTTCAATATGATATTTTGTTAGATGAGGAGCCATTTTTATTCATTGTTTAGAATCTCTATTATAAAATTGGATTATATGATTTTATGAAGCAACTTTATTATCAAATTTAAAATTATATTTTAATAAATTATTACGAGTTGCTTTCATTAAATAAGGAGTATCAAAAATATAAAAAATTTCCTCTTCATTTACTAAAAATGTTGAATTTTCTGTCGAAATACCTAATTCACGGGATAGCTGCATAAAATTAGACCCCATATCAGAATGCATGCACAAAAGCACCAGAATTTCTAAATTTTATAATAGGCGATTTTTGGCAACTGTTTGGTACATGTACCGTGGTTGTTATTGGTAGAGGCGGAACTATTTTTGGTATAGGTACCAGCAACCATGTCACTAAAACGTGTTGATTTTTTTCTATACGCGCAAATTCAAAACTGTCAAATAATTTATACTGTTGTATGTAAGTGTGAAGTAGAGAGACATGAGTTTCAAAGTATTTTTAACTATTTTAATAAATGAAATGTATAATGACGATAAAGATAATCAAGTTATAACAGAAATATATGAACAGTTTTTTCACGCAAGAAATGCAAAAAAAAAGGAAAATATTAAATATGTTAGAATTAAAGGAAAAGCAAAGTTATATTCGTCCAGCATTATCCCTACAGTAAAATCTCTGTGATACCAGGAAGTTTGCCGAAAATCGCGATCCCATTGTTGCCGCTTTATTCCGATCGTGATTGGTCGTGGCGACGCGATCGATCTCGCGACGCAAGTTGACGTGAAGTGCGCGACGATGAGCGATGCAATGTTCGTTTGACAGCTTGCAATTTTGAATTAAAAATAATTAACTATAACTATAATTATTATATAATCTTAACTACAAATAAGATATTATATAATCTTAACTACAAATAAGAACGTAAAAACAATGTAGAAAATGATAATCTTTTAGTATTTAAAAAAATATTTAAAATATTGACATTTTTTTATAATTTTATAATAATTCATAATAATTTTATGACTTTAGCATAATTTAATCAATAATTTTAGCAATAATTTATAACTTAAAATTTGAATCAGTATAGATATTTTAATTTTATACTGTGCGTGCGTGCGTGCGAGTGTGCGTGTGTACGTACATGTGTATGTGCATGTGTGTGCATGTGTGTGCATGTGTGTGTATGTCTGTGTATATGTGTTTGTGTGTGTTTGTGTGCGCGTGCGTAAGTACGCGCGTGTGATAAATAATTATTTAATTAAAAATTAATTATATATTTTTTTGGAATTTTTTTATCAAAGATTTGTAGCATT